TCCGCGCGCACCCATGATATGGGACAATTTTTCTATTTTTAGAACAAATTGCGCCATCCTGACGACATATATCCGCGCGAATCCACGCACATGTCGTGGATTCTCGCGTGATGTTGTCACGTTGCTTGATCAAATGGCGAGAACTGCCACAGCAATGGGAGAGAATAACCTAGGGAATAAGAACCGGAACGCTTGTATGAAGTTTGATGCTCCGAGCTAACGGAAAAGGTGAGTTTTTCAGGGTCGAAAACAAGACTTCTATTTCGCGCTGTAAATGAATAAATAAGGTTTGATCAGGTTTATCTGCTCGCGTTAGTTGTACGCGTAAGCTTTGGCGTTTGTTCTGTAGAGAAAAGTTAACTTATGCAAGAAAACAATCTACTCTGGTATCGAGTTAATTTGTGAGTTTCTCTAATCATAACCAAAACCTGTTTTTGGTAGTCTCTTATTGTTTCTGCTTGTTTGGCGAGTTTGTAAAAGTTTTTGAAAGGAAAGTCTGACGCGTACAAGTAGCTCATTTGAATAGTGTAGCGCGTGCACTTTCAAGTCCGAGTCAGTGTTTTCAAATCTTGACAAAGATTTCTTTCGTTATCTTTTGTGCTGAGATGCTGCAACAATTTTCATCAACGAAAGAAGGCTACTAACATCATGTGTGTTTCTTCCACATGGTGAAACTTTACACTGCAAAAATAAAATAGTCAAGGAGTTTGATAACTCAACCAACAAATCGAAATCGTTATTCGAGTTGAATAAAGAAAGCGTCATCGTAACTTTGCTGATTATTTCTGCTGTATTCACATATTTTCAGCTAAGCTTTTAATATGTTCGCAAACATTTATCAGCCTTAAACATATTTAAAAACTAGAGATATTCTATGAGTTCGATGAACGTTTTCACAAGAAAGTGCGGAAGTCCAATTTGTCATATTTTACTGACTGTACAAAACAGGCATCGGCGGGGGCTCTTAATCATCAACAACAGACAATTTATTGGATTTTTACACAAACAAAACTGAGCAGTATCTACAGACGTAAACGTATTGGGCCTTGATGAAACATCAAGCGTTGCTTACAATTCAGGTAAAACTCAAACTTGCAATTATTTTTTTACTTTTCGGTCGCGATAGACTCTGGCGAGTTCGTCGCAAGTGCGTGGCAAGAGGAGCTAGGAAACTTAGAAGTCCTGAAACTCTGCTATTTAACAATTAGACTCGTAGCCCTTGCGGGCTACGGGTCAATAGCCCATTCGGCTTCGCCTCATGGGCTATTGACCCGCGGCCCTTGAGGGCGAAGGGTCTAATTGTTTTAGTATCACCCAACTAGTCGGACAGAAAAGGTAATAATAAAGTTAGCAAANCGCTACTCGATGACTATTACTAATAGTCCCCTGGTAGCGTAGCCAATCAAAATGCAGGATTTGCATTAGTCCACTAGTTGGGTGATACTAAATCCAAATATATCTAACCAGTTTCTTGCTGTGTTATGAAAGAGCTGTTAATCTTCAACATATGTGAATTGTAGAGTGGAATAATGTAGAGCTCTTGTAAAAGAAGCAGCGGAACACAGCTTGGTCAGTGATATAAGCTTATTAAAGCGTGACACACCTAAATTCGACACCGTCTTACTTTACTCAAACTGAGGCAGCTTACGACAAAAATAATTCAACAAAATTCCAACAGACATAAACGCGTTGAGTTGTGGGCCAAAAGCATAAAAGATTTCGGGAATTTCACACGCTATTTCCCCCGCGCGACATCGGTAAAAATCCTCTCAGCATGTACGCGCGTGTGCCGCAGGCGATGGCGCAATTTGTTCTAAAAATAGAAAAATTGTCCCATATCATAGGGACAGCCCCAATACTAGAAATKACGCGCGCTTAYGGTCTCCGTCCCCGATTATGGCTCCTGGTTCAAGCTCATAATTCAACATGAACTCAGGAATTGGCGTGATGCTCTTGGTCACCTCGGATTTCTTCGGGGCCATTACACAGAGAAAGCTGGCGCATTTTCATCGTCATTTGCTGGCAAAGCAATTTGTGATGTCTTTACATTCCTGATGTTCGCAGCATTAGCCTCGGTTTGTAATGTTAAAATATGATCAGAAATGAATTGGAAGTGAAATTGGGACTGTAAGGCTGTAAAGATTACTTATCACAATTCACACCGTGCTCAAAGGTTCCACTGCACTTTGCGAAGGGAAACTCTCGCACCCTTGGAGTAAGACAATTAAACTTGAAGACAGTTTTGGAGGAAGGTGAGCAAAAATATATTCTATAATGTCTTGATATATCACAGCACATGAAACTCGCCTTTCGTCCTTCCGTAGGTCGATGCTCAATTTTCCAAACACCTCAGGCGAATCGTATCAGTCTGGGTGTATGGACATGGATGAAAAAGGTTGAGCAGTTTCAGTTTCTGATAACTATCGTAAAACCAGATTCACAGAGATAAAAGCTAGTCTACAACTATGGTTGGCGAAATGGTGCAAAATTCACAAAGTTTCTATTCATTCACATTTAATGTTGTTATTATTATTCACGAATATATTTATTCACATTCAACAACTAAATTTATATTCAAGAAATATACTAATTCACATTTA